GTAGGTGAAACACAACTATCAGAATGGAAAACCAAGATCTGAGCCTTGATCCATACACAAGAAAGAATTAATTGTGCTGCTTCCTCTCTAAACATGTTAGAACTGAGGGTTAATAAAAACTGTACATGTCAACCAGGTCACAGGTGTTCAGAGGTTTCATTTTTTTTTTCACAGATATAGCATTAAAAATTAGTTTCTCAACCATCTCTACAGAGACCTTTAATACAACATTTTAAATGAAAATACATGATTTAAAAAGGCGGCGGCATCAGTGGGTTCTTTGGTCTTTTCATTGTAGAAGAGAGGTCAAGAACTAGTGGATAAAAGATAAAACAACACAGAGGAAATGAAGTGCTGGTTTAATGTGCCAATGATATGATATTTGCAAGGACAGTAAAAAAGAATAAAATCCGGCGATTTCCATTTTTAGTGAAGTAGTTACTATAGATGTCTAACTAGCCCAGAACCAGCAGTGTTAGGGAGTATACCTAGCATGACACAAGCTATGCCAAAAAGCTTACCACATCGACTTGAGATAAATTCAACATTCAGAAAAAAGTAGTCTGAAAATAAATTGAGGGAAGGTAAGAAAAAAAAAGAGTGGGAAAAGCAATAGTTGCACAGATTAGCTGGACATAATAATGGGCTTTAATTGATTTCTCTAATTTTTATTTATGTAAATTAGAAAACAAACACAAAACTCTTCCTTAGCTAGTTATTATCCTTAAGCCAAAGGTATTTCAGAGCTAACTATAGCAGAATATTGCACTTCAGCAGACCCTGCAGAAACCATGTAAAAGAGGGAAAACTTGCAGTTAATAACTGCAAGTTTTGACCATTTGGGAGAGAATTAACAACAGGCCCTTAATCAGGAACATGAGTTGATCACATTTATATTACTGTAAAAATATTTTCACCTCGAGGAACTTGCTGAGCCTTCAGTGCTGAACTTAAAACAACCTCTAAATGTACATAAATACACATTCTTCAACATACATTCTTCACATCTTAGTGAACCACTATTTGTTGTGCTCTGTTCACCAGAAAAACTTTTGTTACAAATCAAACAGAAAGAAACAACTATAGGTTATACTCAGAGTGTAACAGTTAGTATCAAAACAATGATGAAGCCAAAATTTAACTTAAAAGCTTGCTTAATTTAAAGCCTGCTTTCTTAAAAGAGGAACTTTCATACTGTGGCAGATTGAAAAACATTTTAAATTATTTCATTTTCACGTTCCTCTTGCAGTATTTCCAGGTGCACATCAGAGAAAAGCTTTCAGCACTACAGACAGCTTGCTGTCCTGCTTGACAATGTAAGAAAACAGAACAAAGCCATAACTCCTTAAATAATCTTACCATCATGTTTTCACTGCTACAAAGACAGTCAATAGAAAACAGCAAAAACAAAACAGAGTAAGAACTCCTGTTTCAAGACCACAATATTTTAGAATAGTTTGCGTCTGTATAAATCAACAATAAAACACAAATATCAAACAGCAAACCCTTCCTAATAACGGGAGGCAGCAAAAATATGTTCCTTAGGAGAAAGTTAATCAAACTGAACTCTCTCAAGCCCATTTTCAAATTCAGACATTACCAAAGCCTGGCCCAAACTTTTTCCACTGATACTTCTTGACCCTGAACCCTCTCTCTGAAAAACTTATTTCCAATAACGCAACAGAATTCTGCAGCCTCTCCATGAAATAACATATCTCAACTCATAGTTGTAAACCTAAGTAGCCATTCTGAATATCTATTTGCTAGTATATACAGTAGCTAGCCACATTAGAATACACGCATTAAGACAGACAAACTACTTAGGATGTGGACTGTCTCTCGCTAAGCATTTGCACCCTGAACCTCTCCCGCATGAAGGGCATTAAAAGCCATACCAAAATTGAATTTATTGTCTTTTGGAAATTCATAGGGATCCCATAAAAATAAGGAGGGGGGCGGGGGAAAGTATTTTGCAAAGCTTTTTAATGAAATAAATGAAAACATTTCTCTTCAGTTCCAAAGAACTCATCTAAATGTTTTTACGTAATTCTGAAGCTGAACACTACAGCAGAAACATAGGCATCGAAATCAGAAAACAAAAATGATTACATACAATTGAAAACATGTTCCAAGGCTCAAAGCAAGACCAATGAAAAAAGGCCATTAATGGTCCAAAAAAAAAAATCATTACAGTATAGCATTAAGTTTTAATTTAAATAAAATTTAAATTTAAACATAAAATAAAAATCCTTTCTTTTGAGGGCATCTCGTAAAAATAAAACTAGAACTGCATTTTGCGTGACACTTCTTAAAGGAAGTTTTAAAAATATATAGAAGCGTACTGTGTTAGCTGCAATGTTTGATACTGCATAAACTCTAAGTAAGGACTTTTGTTTAACTAAAGAATTACTAACACAAATATTCATAGAACAATTGCAGTTTCTTAGAGTAGAAGCATCATTTGAGTTTGATGCATTATTATTATGGACCTTTCTGCTTCCCTTTGGTATCAAAGGCCAGAGGAATTTAAAACAACTTTGGAAATAATAAAACCACCCAACTCTGAAACCTGCCTGACATCAAGTTTCTGTCTAGCAGGAGATTTTACAACACTCGAAAACAGAGCTAAGACAGTTTCTTATAATGGAAACTCTGACGGACCAAGAACTATCGTTATACTAGGAGCTGCCACTGTAATATTCTTTCCTTTCCTTCATGTCATACTGAAATTTCCATTTTATTCTTCATTTGTCATTCTTTTCTCTAAAGGTAGTCACCTAATTAAAGAAACTAGGGGTTTTTTTGCAACCTACCTTCTAGTTTCACACTTTTTTTTTTTAATTCTTCATGTTCTCACTAATTTTGATCACCAATTTGTCTTTCCAGCTTTAGCTGGTGACCTTTTAGATGGAAGCTTCAGAAAGTTGAACAGAAAAAAATTCGATTCAGCTGCTTCTCTTTATCATGGAAGTTTTGTTTTTCAAGACTTATCCCAAGAGTATGAACTCTGATTTTTATTACAATCAAATTTAATGAATGACAGCAAAAAACCCCACTACTTAAACCTATTAGTGTACCAACAATAACTTGCTACAAACTACCTAAAATTTGAATATTTCTTAGAGATTTTGACTGTATAAGAATATAGACAAGAACACTGAATATAACAGTCTCCATCAAAGAAAAACTGCAGAATCTTGCTCTGATGCATACAAAAGTCAGGTTTGAACATATTTAGGTTCCTGAAAAGTATTACTTCTGAAGCCTTTAAAAATAAATCAACTGCTTTTACTCTTGGTTGTGTTCATGCATGGCGTTTGGAGGTAAGTTGAAACTGAATTCAAATTTTTAGCTAGTTTTATAAAGATTAGTCATCATCAGCCAAAACTATTCCTAGCTAACTAGAATTACGATGGTAGAAGGAATTCTGGCCACAGAACATAAAATACTGGAAATGAACTGCCATGCCAAATCGGATCTGTGGCTCAGATCAGTGGATCGCGGCCAATTTGAACCACTAGCTGCCTGACTGAAAGACAGGAGAAAGTCAACACCGTACAAACTGCAAAGCTTGAGAGATAACTGTATAATTTAAATGCAGCCCCAATTATTTTCTGTATACCAATGGAAATCTCTAACGAACATCTAAATAATTCCTTAACTAGGAACCACTGAGCTATCCTGAATGGGATTCAGGAAATGCCATTCCACTACTGACTGAGGACTACAGATTGATCTATAGCACCGCCCTGGATGCGATGAGTAGCAAAAAACTGGGGGACATCTACAGAATTTAATACTAACGTGTTGGGACATAGAGGAATTTGTATACAAGATTCATAGTAAAACCACGGTTGCACGCTTACCTTAATAAGGCATGCAACTTTTTCACTATATGTGTGCGTCTGCAAGTTTCTACTTGCAGAAAGAAAAATATTTCTTGCAAAAATCTTTAAAGGCATCATTCTTTTACATTCAGTTTCTCAGGTTTAATTTCAAGAAGTACTAACTAACATCAACTTTCACAAAAATACCACAGAATCCATAATTTCGCCAACTACTAAGTAAAAGCAACATTCAGGATAGTCAAATATGCTCTAAAGCATTAGCAAATAACCATTAAAAATGTAATGAAAGAAACAACCAAAAGGCTAGGTAATGAGTACACAATGTACATCTGCAGGTGGAACGATAGGGAAGAAGGTGGGGGAAGAGGAAGGGACAACAAAAAGCCTCATCCTAATTAGGTAAACATATGACATAGGAAAAAATAACAATAGTTGGGTGTGGTTATTTTATGATTAAATGCTAAATAATGATAAGGGTTTGGCAAAAATATAGAACACGAGAATACAGCATATCATGCTCTGGCTTTCACATATATAGTTATCTTGCACTACAGCAGCTTTCAATTTCTCAAGGTTGGCAGAATTTATTAAATCGGCGATTTTGTAGGGGTGGATATTTTTGTAATTGAGTATTGCATAAGACAGAAAAACGCTGCCTGTCCTAAAATGTAGTTCAAACCAAAGGTCCTCCTAAACATACAGTGTATGAAAGTTAAAAACAGGGAGTTTGGGTTATGAAAAGAAGCCATATGACTAAAAAGTGAATCCATTTTCCAGAACGCCCACACAGACAAGAGCTTCTGATGTGAAAAATGGTCTCTGCAAAAGCTAAATTGCACAGATTATTTTCATGAAAAGTTAGAAGCTGCACTACATGCAGATTATATGACATTTACTGTGACAAGATTTTAAAAAAAAACCCAACGCTTTTTGTGTTATTACAGTATGAACAATTACTTGATTGTTCAATGTATATGATATAAATATCAATAGTTATTTAACTGAATAATTGTCTTCCTTTAGAATTTACATAGGCAGAGATGCTTGCTTAGTTTTTCCAGGCTTGCTTCCTTCTTGCTGCAGGCAAGTTTTGGCTGCCTTCAGAGTAAGATGCAACAATGTGCGCTAGCCAGCAAAGCATTTGTGGCTTACCTTGGCACTGAAATCCTTGTTTCCCAAATCCCCTGCATAAAAAAGAAAAAAAACCTGTGTTAATATGTTTAGTTACAATTTCTTCTCAATGATCTACAACAACATAAAAATAGCTTCATATTAAATTACTTCAGATTTTGCTAAGACAGCAACAGATTTTAAAATATACAACACAGAGCAGCCCACCCATTTCAAAGCAGAGAACAATAGCTGTCACCAGCTATGTAATTTCAGCTTCTGGCAACAATTTTTTTATTATTATTATTTTACAAGCTATTTTGGATCTACAATTATCATCATCTGTGATTACTGCATAATATTTCAACTCATTTAATGTCACATGTATACTTAACAGCAATGTGAAATATTCCAAGTTCTAGCAAAGGCGTATAAAACAAACCACTTAGTTTTTCATCCAAATTTTAGGATTGCATGCCGATGCTGTTATGCGCCTCAGCTAGATTCCAGTTGTTTGTTGTATGGAAAGGAGGCAGGTTAAAGGTTTTGCTTGTTTCAGTATAAACGAGAAGACAGGCCCATTGGTTTCATACTGATTATTCTTCCAGCTTCCTTGCTTCATTTCCATAACAAAATACAAATGTGCGTGTAATACTTTACCAATGAATACAGTGACACGCAAGCATTGTACGTGGTATCCAGAGTTCCGACAGATATTATACCTCTGGAAAACTGCACTGTTGTTGGTTTTATTTATCTGTTTATCTTTAAACATTCAACATTCTCTTTCCATAAAAATAAATGTTTTGAGTATCCTCCCTATAAACATTTCCCTGCTTTTTCCCTCTTTGCAGAATGTTTTTCATTTGGAGAGCTGGAGCTGCTTACGCTGAAAGACAAATGAACCAAAGCCATGAACTGTAGAAGGCGGCCAGTAGGCTGTATGCAATTAACAACATGAAGGTTAATTATGAAGTTTGTGGAAATGTTTTTTAAAATATTATATCAACAGTTTCCCCCCCTTTTTATTTATTTGTTTAGAGAACAGACAAAACCTTTAGTACACTGTCACTTCAAGTGGAAACTGAAATTACACAGCTTCGAGCATTTCTGTAAATTTCTACGCAACAGTCTCTACCTGTTACTGTTATAAGTGGGCCTAAACTGAGAAAAACAGCAGAAATATGAAACTGTTTGTTTACTTGGCAGCACATGTGACTGCACTACGCTCTCATTCTGCTGCTATCATCTCTTGTCTTCACAGAAGTAAAGAGCACGTACTGGAAGTGTGCAAGATGCAATTGCAGGAAAGCTGACAGCAGGACAGAACATGAAACAGACTTTAGATAATTTTTCATCCTTTTAAACAGACTTATTTGTAAAGAACATTCCTGTATTATCTACTCTAAAAGCAGAGCCATTCTTCAGTGTTCGAGCTGAATTCACACGCTAACCAGCTGCAGTCCACTCCACTCCCCGAGCAGTTACAATGTATTTTAAGTAATAGGTCTTAAAAAAAAATATCAACACTTGAGAAACAAAGCAGATAGGTGAAAGTTGTTTAAGAAGATAAGGAGGCACTAAACTATTTCGGTAAACATTACCTGGTCAAACAATCTAAGAAAACAAATCTATTTGCGTAGTTCATTGAAAAGTAATATTTACTATTCTTTATACCTTAAAACATATGTTAACTGACACATGTCACGTTGGAAATAGATGAAGCACTTTTTAGGGGGTACGATGCTTATTCAAGAGTTGCCCATCTTCAAAGGAGGAAATGAAAAGTCTTCCAGTTGTCACATGCTCATTTGATGAGTGTTAAGAGCTTCCTTAGACTCACTAGCAAGAAAAGACAAAAGAGCACAGCTACTCTTGCCGCCCCAGCTACAGGATACCCTTTCACTTTCACATCCATCCTGCCACCAGGTGCCTTTTCTCATGACAGTATTCTGCTTTGGTTTTTAATTGCGCTAGTTATCTGCACAAACACAGCCTGACAATAACCCTGCAGCATTCTTTCACACCTCCCAGTTCATTCTGGTTTAGATGAACTTTGAACCAGTTTCTGAAGGTCTCTCACTTTTACAACAAACTGTGCAAATTTATTTCAAATAGGAAATTAAAAAAACCCCAAAACTCTCAAAAAGTTGACTTGTTTCTCCTTGTTTCTTCTGCAAACTACCCATCTCAGTTTTCCTCCTTCCTTACTCTGCAAATGTATTTCAATCGTTCCTGGAGCAACCAGAGTCTTTCCTTCAGCATGCAAACCGAGGAAAACTCAAGAAGGAAGGCAAAGGTCTGTGCCCAGACGCATAAACACATGGGAAAAGAGCAAGGCACCTGCCATAGACACAGAGCCAGCTGGGTGCAGACCCCTCTAGACCTTTTACAACTTCGGATAAAATAAATCACAGCTCTCATTTTCAGCAACAAAGCCTGCAGCGGAAACTTCAGCAGCAGAGCAAGGCTGAAGCTCAGCCACATCTCAGGTAAAGGAGAGGGAGTTGTTTATGTCGCACGCTCCCTGAACGTACAAAACATTCACCTGAAGGCAAGGGTTGCCCCACCTCGCTGAGGGCACAGGGCATGAGCCAGCAGACTCCGCACGCCCACTCGCACTGCTCGGCTAAGGGGAGCGAAGGGTGTCGGGCAGCGCCGAACCCGGTAGATGCGGAGAGGGCCGAGTGGCTCGGCCTGCAATCCTGCCCAGAAGAGGGCATGGCAGGAACTGGTAGGTATATTTTTTTCCCTAACAGCTTCGTAACGGGGCTGTCGGTAGGAAGTTTTCCTCCCTTCCTCCCCTCTCGGTAGCAGGAACCCTTCTCTTAAAAAAACCCTCCCTTTCCTAAACACGTAACGTAGCAGCAGTGTCACCGTGCGTTCCCAATCTCCCTGCCCTCCCTCTGCAGCAGGAGGAAATAAAGCAGGCACCGATCACAAAGTTAAAGGCAGGGCTACAGAAGTTGCCGGCAACCCCCACAGCCTGAAACAGAAACCCCTCCGTTCCTCCCGCAGCAGCTGTAGCGCCGGCTGAGCTCCCCTCCGCTACGGGCAGGCGGGCACGGAGAAGGGGGCTTCGCGGGTGAAGTCAGCCAAGCCGAGCAGAATCCGGGTCGGGGGGGAGGGGAGGGGACGGGACGAGAGGTGAGGAAATACAAATCCGGACGATTTGGGAAGCGATGTCCCCAGCGCGGGTCTTCGGCCCCAGCTGATCTCTGCGCGTCGGCCA